GTGTTGGTCGCCTTAAGTACATGCCATTTATTCAATGAATTTGTAGAAGTTTTTGGTCCACTGGACTTGCTGTTTCAAACACTCCTATAATAATAAAGGCTCGTTGACCTATTTCTCTTTTAAGTGTTACATGAGACTTTATTAGGTAGAATTAGTTCCCTTTTTTTGACACACGCTCTCAGAATTTATCATATGGGATTGTTTCATTTATTTGATTCACTTTGCCAATACATTACATCTAAGGAGAATTGTATTTGTCCTATTTTTATTTGATTCAATTACATATTGTGGTCATTTGTTGTGTTGTTCCGATTGCAGTACACTTCACTTAACCCCCTAGGTGATAGAGTGTTGGTCAAGATTAAGACTACAGAGGAGAAGAGTGGAGGTGGTATCTTACTACCAACAATAGCACAACGCCTCAAGGAGGTGAGGTGGTTGTTGTTGGAGAAGGTCGGAAAATTGGAAAGAAAAAGGTGGACTTCAGCATAAAGGTAATTGTTTGGGGTTAACACATTAAAATCACAAGAGACCTTTGACTCACCGATTTTGTGTTCTTCAATGATGTTTTTGACTAGGGAATCTTAGGCATTTTAGGTGTGTTTACAACAACTGGGTTTTCAAATATATTTACAACAATGGTTTTATAAATCTAAATTTCAACTCTTTTTGTTTATTTGGTCCATTTCCAACATAAAGATACGAATTTTTTATTTTAGTCATTTTTTTAAAAATAAATGCTTCCCTCTCTCTCTCTCTCTCTCCCTTTCTCCCACCCCCTACTGCATTACATAATTTGAACCATCCATATTCAGTGCTTGCATTTTTTTTTTGATCAATATTCAATTTTTTTGTAAATTTCATAGTACCTTTAGGAACGGGTAATCATTTCATGCATTTTTTTATGCGTGTTTCATTTGGTGGGTTTTAGTTCTCTAAGTTACATTTTGGGTTTGTTGATAGGTGGTAATCGCATATGTCGTCCCCAAAGTTCAATTGAATGAATTCACAAGTCTTTGTCTCTGCGAGCCCACTGCGTTCATGCCCCTACAACTTTAATTATCATGGATTTTTCTACTCTACCACTGATAAAAAACCGTGTTATTTTGGATGTATTATTCTGGTAAACATATGATATGGTGGATATATTATGTGTAGTCTAAATACTCTTGTGAATTGTTCCTAAAATTGCATCGTGCACTTAGGTGTACATAAAACTACTATGTGTTCATAATTTATATTGTGCATTTTCAGACTAGGCACCAACTCAATTTCAAATTGCAATGTGCAACTGGGGTTGCGTCGGGTTGTTGTGTATGGATCATTTGATTTTTTTTGGGATTGTAATGTTTGTTTTTCGATTATATATACAGATTGACATTTCCATGATCTCTTATTTTAAAAGGAAACTCTGCCAAAAGTTTGAAAAAATAGCAAGTTATTCCATGAGCCCTTTTGCTAATTTTATGCTTTCCTCCCTCTTCTGTTTGTCTTTCGCACTTTCATCCTTCCAAGTTCTGATAATTATACGTAAAACCCTACAAAATATACAAATTAAGCATTAAGCATAATACTATTCAAATTAATCATTTTAATTCAATTAACGCACACTATTAACCGTAAATCCTAATTTATTACCACACTATTTAGGGTTAATCAGTGTTGAATTGTGAGAGAGGGATGATAATGCTAGTGGGGGATAGAGAAATGGAAGGTAAGAGGATAAAGAGACATGAGTGAAAACAATGGAATGAAGAAGAAGCCATGGTTTTCAGTGAATTATGAGAATTAGATCAAATGATAACACAATGAGGTTTGGTTATGGTGATGAATGTTGCCAAATTGTTGATCCGAAGGTACCTATACAATTCACAATTCCTCTTGGGTAGTTGCGAAGGCAATAATCTTGTTTTGTAATGTATAATGTAATTATACAAATTTTAGTGGAAAGAGAAGTGAGATAATTTTTTTAAAAAAACAATTCAATTCCCGTCGTTTAATTAAACACCCATAAATTTTTTCTAGTCACCAGAGTCTGGCCAATAAAGCCGATGTTTATTTTTCATCAAGAAAGTCACCGGTATATATTCAAATATGCTTGATTGGGTTCACCCTAATCTCCAAACATCACCCCGGTTTATGTGTATGGCTTATATAGATAGGGAAGTGTCACTCTTCCTCGGGTTCAATGCTAGAAATGGGAAAAACATGTGTGTGAATGAAAATGTGTTGGTGTGAAAAAGTGCTCTCCAAGTAAAGAGAGACTTTCAAGTGTCATGGTTTACTTGGAATTAAGTATCCCAAGTTCATCTCTTCAGGGAAGGCAAGTTAAATTATGGTAAAGGTGATTTTGTGATAAATGAAAAGTGTAAAATCTTGTAGTTTTGTGTTTTGGTGAGTGGAGTTTTTGCTAGAAATGAAATGAAAACAAGGTTGGCTAATCCGAAAGGTTCATTCTAATGTGAATGCCAAATCAACTCACAATATTCTTCCAATGGTGTTTCGGTGCTTGATTGATTCGTAGGAAGTGAGAGACTAATGTGGAGGTGTAGGTTTAAGCATACACCGTGACAAATCTACGGTGTATCAAGAGTGCACAAGCACATTCGCACCCAGTCTAGTCAAACCAAACACCTTACACTATGAGGAAGAATGGCAAAGAGTTGATTTAACATACCCAAGAGGAAATTTTCCATGGATTAGCTAACTAAAAACTTAGCTACTCTTAATGGATGGATAGACATGCATAATGTAAAGAGACATGGTCGAGAAATGAAGCATGGAACTTGTATTAATGAAAGAAAAGAGTTAAACTACAAGAGAAATGACATTTATAGTCAAAATACAAATATTGAAGGCAAATACCCAATGTAAAACTTGAAATGCTAGAAAATATAGTTAAACTTGAATAAACTTGAAATAAAGTAGATTAAAGTGCAAGAAATAAAGATTATAAGTGATTTAAAGCTTACTACAACTGAAATGGCGAAGAAAATGCAAAAACCTAACTTTCTCTCTCTAGAATTTCATCTTCTTCGTTGTGAGCTTCTCTCTCTATTTACTACTCCTAAGATTAGGTAGCCTCTCTCTTTACAAAAGCTTGTGTGAAGCTGAATAAATGGTGTATAGACCTCTACATTTTCGTCCATAGGACTCCTCTAGCCTATATGTGCAGGCCTCCCATCAGTGGGAGGTAAGGTGATGCATTGGACAGGCTAGGACAGGCATAGCTTGCACCCACCACACCTTCTTCCTTCTCTCTCCTCCTTTCCCATCCTCAATCTTCCAAAGTGTGACTTTAGGGTGTAGATAGGCATGCATATATGTAGAATATGTCAAGAGATGTGTGGGAGAATCATAGGTGGGACCCTCAAGCAAGGGGAGCATAAGTTACAGGTGTCTGGCATTTCTGGACCAAACCTTCTGGAAGGTCGAAGCAAAACCTTCTAGAAGGTTGAAGCAAACCCTTCTGGAAGGTTTTTTTTCAGTGTGCAAAACCTTCCGGAAGGTTTTTAGGGGGATGCAAGCTCAGGACTAGTTTTCGTACATTTATCATAACTTTTGGTCTAACAGTCCGATTGAGCTAAAATGTTGACATTATATAGATGACATACAGATCTATAACTGTTATGTTTTTAACTTTTTCAGATTCAAAGTATATCATGGTCAAAATTTGGGAAAACCGAGGTACTGCTACCAAATGGTGTGGGTGTCGGTACCTATGTTACCAAATACTGATACCTCCTTGATATTTTTCACTTTTAAGCCTCCAAATTGTCATGTAATGTGTTTATCTCTTCACCACTCATCCACACATAGTTGCAGAGTTCCGAAAGCCATCAATTACTCTATGATTACCTGCAACATCAAAATTTTCACATTATTCACAACTTCGACGAACTCTAACTAATTAAATACTAAGTTGAGTTAAAATGCATGTAATGAGGCCGTTAAATATGCAATATTACACACTCATCAATTATGGTAATGAATGTTGCCAAATTGTTGATTCAAAGGTAGCTATGCAATTCACTCTACATGTGATTGGGTGGTTGTGGAGGCAATAAACTTGTTTTGTATAATGTAATTATACAAATTTTAGTGGAAAGAGAAGTAAGATAATTTTTTTTTTTTTTAAACAATACAATTCCCACCATTTAATTTAACACTCGGAAATTTTTTCTAGTCACCAGAGTCTGGCCAATAAAGCCAATGTCTTTTTTGGTAAAGAATGTCACTAATATACATTTTCCTGCTTAAGCGTTTATTTTTCATTGGGAAAATAACTAATATACATTTTTCGGCATTTAAGCGAGAGATTTTTTGACGCAATATAGGTAGCGTGTGGACAAACACTAGAGGAACGTCGACGTTAAGCTTTGCAGTCATTTCAGCTTTTTGAAAATTTCTTGTAGTGGCGAATTTTTTTTCTTTATTCGTAAATACTTGCGCTTTGAAAAATAAAGATACATTAAAAGCTTGCTTGAAAAGACTTCTTTTCTCTTCATTGATTTATGAGAATGACCAATTGCTCCAAAAGCATTATTTTAATTTATTGCTTCCTATCTCAAAAAATTCAAAAAGTATAACACATCTAGATATCCTGCATATTTTGCACCTAAACAAAATGCACGTTTCTGGAAGGAATGTAAAGCCTTACATGCAATAATACTCCCTTAAAATCTTAAACAAAATAATAGAAATAAATTAGGTTGTAAGTTCATGAAGAACTTAGTACATTAGTTTTCTGAACCCAACTCTATGCTATGAATTTCAGTCCAATCCTTAAAATACATTTTATTTTAATTGCAGCCTCTAATTTTTCATAGACAAGTGTCAGTATGGATCTTAGGTATAATTAATTCCCTAATATTTTTGCAGGAAAAAGAACATGTATCCCTAAAAAATTGGAGGGCTTGATTAAAAGATATAGTTTGAGTGTTAAACTGGAAATTGTAGTATAGTTAAGGAGCCAAATAAATAATTTATGCACGGACATACTAGAACAACAATCTTCTCTTACATGCCTCAAAGGGAAGTGAATAGATGCAACAACATCTCAGCTCTGTAACAATGTCTTCAATCAAGTCCCTGCAAATATGATCTTGCATCACCAACCCTATTCTCCCAACCTCTCTCTTTTCTCCCCACGCGATGTCCCTACACACTTCTTCTACACTCTCAATCATGGCTTTGCTGCTCCACAATGTCGAAGCCGCCGTCTCGGACTTTGCCAGAAACGATACACTGGTGGCTTTGTCGAAGAAACACAGATCTATAATATCATCTTCTCCTGGCCTCTTCCTTGGTGATGACTTGTGCCTGTGTGGCATTCGTCCTGCAACATGATAATTGTTCTTCACTGTCTTCAAAACCAATGAGCAATACTAATGGGATATAATTTAATGACATAATGTATTGTGACCAATAAATTGATAGTATAATGTATTTCGTGCTACAATGGATTGTGACCAATGAATTGATAGTATAATGCATTTCATGCTGCAATGGATCCCATCCACTGTCGACGACAACATGCTAATGATGGTCACCTCCTAATAATTTAGAAGGACTGCTTTTTTGGTGGGTGGGAACATGAGAAAGTGGAGTTCTGTCATCTAAAGCAATAAAGAAATGTCATCCTTGCTTTTATTACATTTCTTTTCAGCTTTAGTATTAGTTGAATCATCTTTGACTGTTTCATGAGGATAACTGAGCAGTGGATATGATTTTGGCTCGTACTACAAAGACCCTATGGACCACCATAGGCGAGAAGCACTGGCCAGTGAATTCTCTGTAACACTTTATGTATAATTGGCACCTATTCTAAAAAATGTGACCTAAAAGAAATCAACATCTATAAAAGATCATATATTAACATAATTGAAATAAAAATTGCATTGAATTACAGATTAATCAAAAATTAAATAATTTCACTTTTGATAAAAATAAGCACCAAAAAGTATAGAAATTAGATTCAAATTCGTAATTCCCTTATTATATAAATATATTAGTCATAACTCGTGCCTCATGGCACAATAAAATATAAAAATTGAGTGTCCAAAAATTGATTCCATTATATTAATATTTTTTAAAATATATTAATTACAAATTAATCAAATATTAAATGATTAAATATATGACAAAAATGAGTGACGTGATGTTTTTTGAGAAGAAATATATGATAGAAATAAGTGATATGATTTGACGTTTGAGCCTGACAAAGGGATAATGGGTGAGGTAAGTGATTGGTGATGGTTTTGAGGAAAAAAATATAATTGGAATAAAATTCAAACACACTCCTATTTTATTATATAGATTCTCAGAATCTAATGAGAAAAATAATGACAGTCTATAAATAAAGTAGGAACAAAATTTTATCTAGAACACAATTATATTCACCGTTAAAGATGATCTAGATAACCAAAGTATAAATATTTGTTCTTTCTGATCTTGGAATCCTAAACCACAGATGAGAAACCCTACAATCTTTAACGAAAAATCAAAATAAGGTGTCATCCAAGTTATACGTGTGTATCATTATCACTTTCCTATGTGTTTCTCCTTAAACAATTCAACATGGTTTTTATGTTGTTACTATATTCATCTTTTCACCCCCGAAACTTCGCTGATGTGAAGTTTTGAAATGTTCTCTTTATTTTATCATATTTAGAACGAGAAGTCTTTGAAAATTACCAATTGATCCCCTCAAAATCCTAAGAAATTATGCAATTTAATACACGTCGACCACCCCTTGAAAGATTTTCAAACTTCCACCTTTTTATATAGGTATTAACACTACTGTCAATCCCTTCCTTTGTCGTGGATGTCCTAACAGAACCTATAATTCTAGATTGACCAGAATGTGAGATTAAAAAAAAAAANACGGGTAATTCTTGGATTCGTTGTAATTGATGTGAATGTAATTCTTTCAGAATTAGGTCAATCAACTTAAATACACAATTGTTATTTTCAATGAGTGTTAATTGAATATTTTCCACTTAAGTGCGTTTGAGTACAATCTTGAGTGAGTTATAAAATTTGGATCATGATATCTGTTCATGGTGAGATGAACTTAGTTGATTGATCAATCTTTTCTTTAATTCTTACTCCTTAGTTTATAGTTCCTTCAACCAATCTTTCAAAAAATTAGAGTTTTTACTTTTGTTTGCCTACCACCCTTTGAACCACTCATTTTTCCTAAGGAGAGGACCTTGGTAAATCGACCGAGTTACAACACAATAATATTCCTACGATTGGGATACTTTTTATATTTAATCCAATTTTAAAAGCAAGCAAATGACTATCTAGGTGCGAGACCTATAGAAGACTTGCCTCATCTTCATGTTTTGGCCATTAAATGGCATGGTATTGACCATCCTAATAGTTGGGTTACATTGAATTTTCGACAAAAATACTTGACTCCATATTATAGGATGCTAAGTCTTGTGGCCAATTACAATATAAAACCCAAAAACTCATATCTCTGACTTTCCTACCCAAAAGGCACACATGCTTTATGCTTTAGGGAAAGGATTTGATCTTGACTTGCCGATGATGATTTTTGGGTTTATTCGGTGAGCTTTTTTAGAGGGGAAAGTATCAGAGAATCTACCATTCTGATCTCTTATTAGTTGTATCTGCCAAAGTCAAAGAGTAGTTATCTTGATGTGTGAGTAGTTGCAGAACCCTATGAGGGCCTTGAACAAGAGTTCGATAAAGCAGAGTCAGGTCTAGAGTGAGTATGTTGTAGTGGTTAAGGAGCAAGCCCCCACATATTTGTCCTAAGACTAGTACATCTAGGACACCACCACCACTTGAGTCAGGTTAAAATACCCTTGCAACCTAGATGACATCACTTGTTGATATGATAACCAAGGTTGAGTGCACCATGGTTGAGCATCACCAGATGACTTCTCAGAGGTTGGATACACTAGATGGTAGGATTGTGCGCTTAGAGGAGACCCAACAGACTGTCATGGGAGCAATTGCACATAGAGTTGGGCAACTTAGGAGGTAGCTGAAGGTGAAGTAGATTTTAGGTGAGCCTATGCCAGATAACACGGATTTGGATCTAGAGATACCCCAGAGTGACAGAGGAGATGATGGTGATGCAGCCATTTGAGCTATGGCTTTTGCAAACTTAGTATAGGTCATATGTGAGCTTGAGAGTATTTTAAATTCACTCATGGCTTGTACTAAAGTGCTCTGTTTATTTGTTTCTTGTTGGCTTTTTATATTCTGCTGACTTTCATTTTTTTAGCTCTAGTTTTTGTTGTTGTGATGTACTCTTAATCCTACTTATTGATGTTGAATCATATTTGACTTTAGTTATATGCCTTCTTTGTTCCTTCCATAGTTTACTTGCATAATTTGGCTAGTTATTATGCATTCATACCTTCTTGTTATACTATGATTCTATGTCATTATTGTTATAGGTCGTCATTGGATTGACATTTGTAGAAAATAAAATAAGAATATGTTGGTTCCTATCTTCTAAAGTGGGTTAAATGTAAATGGTTTCTTGCTTGATTGTTTTCCGTAAGCTCCAACCCTCAAACCCGGATTTTGTGTATATATGGCTTATAGAGGTTGGTGAGTGTAACTCTCCCTCGAGTTCAATGCAAGAAATGGAGAAAATCGTGTGTGGATGAACAAAAATGTGTGTGTTTGTGCGTGCAAAATTGTTCCCCAAACGTAGAGAAAGTCTTGCAATGTCGTGTCTTACTTGAAATGTGTATTTCAAAGTAGTCTCCTCAAGGAAGGAAAGGATAAATATTTTTGAAGGGTAATTTGTAAAAAAAAGAAAAATAAAAAATCTTGTGATTTGTGTTTTGGTGAGTTGTGTTTTGAGAAATATGCAAGAAAGCAAGGTTGGCTAATCCATAGAGGTCATTCCAATGGGAATGCCAAATTGACTCATTTCATTCAACCAATGGTGTTTTGTTATTTGATTGATTCATAGGAAGTGAGGGACTAATGTGGTTGTGTTGGAAAAAAACATACCCTGTGACAAGTCTATGGAGTATCAAGAGCCCACAACCACGTCCGCACTCAACCTAGTCAAACCAAACACTTTACACTACGAGGAAGAATGAAAGAGAATCGATTTCACATACCTAAGAGAAAAATCCTCTTATATTAGTTAACTAAAAGTTTAGCTACTCATAATAAAGGCATGAACAAACATAATGTAAAGAAACATGGTAGTGAAATCAACTATGAAACTTGTATTAATGTAAGAAAAGGTTTAAGCTACAAGAGCAAAGCCATTCATACCCAAAATGCAAAGCTTGAAGATAAAATACCCAAATGTAGAAATGAAAATACAATAACACTTAGCTTAGCTTGATTACAACTTGAATAAAAGAGATTAGAGTGTAAGAGGGAAAGAGGGAAAGATTACAAGTAAAATAGAGCTTACTACAATGAAATGGTGAAGGAAAATGTAAAAACTTAGCTTCTCTCTCTAAAACTTCATCTTCAACCATGGAGCTTCTCTCTCTAAAAGTCTATGAAATTTTAATAATGGTGTAAGAAGTCCCCAATTTTGTCCATCCTACCTCCCTTAGCATGTGTTACTTAGTTGGAATGATTAGAGTGAGGTTCTCCAATTAAACAAGCAATTTCATGTCAAAACATGATCCTCCCATGCTTTCCCAACCACCCCTATTCTCTCCCTTGCTTATCCCCTCTCTCCTACTTCAAATATAACTTCAGGGGTTAGGAGAGCATCATGAGGTGTCACATGTTAGGGTATGGTTTAGAGCACAAGAGGTGGGCCCCTGGAGTAAGTGGAGTCATGTGAAGGAGTGTCTGGCAGATTTGGGAATGTTCTTATAACGCCCCTAAAACTAGGGGTCTTTTAACAACCGTTGACCACCCCATTATAGTTCATTTGTATCCTTAGAACTAAATAACCCATGGCCCAAAAGCTTGGTAATGTAATTTTAAAATTTTAAAATTTTGGAACGAGTACCGGTATGCAGTACCAGTACTGTTAACTCACTGGGCCTCGTGGTACCAGTACTCCTTGCCCACTTTTTCCTATTGCACCTGCTTTTCATTTTCAACTCATTCATAAGCATATCATTTCCATCCAACTCATGTATAATGAAGTTTTTCATATAATACAAGGTCCACACACGTTCTATTACATTCAATTTTCGTAAATTTACATACCAAAATAGAAATTTCAAAATTGTTTTACAATACTCAAAATAAAGCCACATTTCGTCTTCCTTCATCCTTGAGGTCCCATGTGAGGGCCTTTCTTGAGCGTATATCCCGTACCTGAAATATTTTCCCATATAGGGTGAGCCACGCCCAATAGAGTATATCCTACCAAGGCTATTCCCCAATCTAA